ACACACACACACACACACACACACACAATCACTCTCACAGGGTTCACTTGAAAATTAACTCAGATCACATACGTAAGAGCATTTTTCTGCCTTTCCCATGCTCCATAATATTAGTTATTACTAGCTATGCTTTAAAGTTCATTTTTCTTGGGGTCACAGCTCCTCGGAGAAGCCAACTTGGGCAAGCTTGCTGTTATCTCATTGATAACTTGCAATCATTCAGCTACCTTCAAGATAGGTTCTCTTATTTTTATCATTACACGGAAGAGGACACTGAGGCACAGAGGAGGTCAGTAACTTGATAATAAGCGTGAGGGAAGGTCTCAGCACAGGGGAGTCTGAAACCCGGGTATCAGTTTGTTGTACTGCGGTAGCTTGTATATTGCAGTTGCTGTAACACCGGAACCTATGTCCCCGGTATTAGAATTCCCAGAATGGTGAAGGTTTCAGTGGCGCTTTCAGACTAGGAAGAAAATCCTGTGATCTACCTGAGATAAAATAATCCACTGCCAGTCATGTGACTCACAGAGTCCTGTCTGAGACGTTGACTAGCTTACTTTAGATGCACCATCAATAAGGACTTAATCCTAAAGACACCTTGCTTGGTAAAGTGGAAGGCAAGCAAAGGTGAAGGAGATCCTCAGTGAGGTGTGTTGACACAATGGCTACAATAATGGTTTCAAACAAACCAGTGGTCATGAACATGGAATGGGATTGGATAACGTTCTGTTAAGCATGTGGTCACTATGAGTTGGAGCCGATTTGACAACAGTTAAGATTCTAACTCTGGAGTTGGCATTCTTGTTAGTCTACGTAGCCAATCTGATAGCAAACCGTCAGCACAGATCATTAAAGAGGTTGAAATTTACCACTCCTGCCCTTCACTCTACCCCTGGTCTTAGACAGAGGGGAAAAGAAGAATGAGTCACCCGTTAGTCCAGTATTACTGAAAGTATCATTGTGAATCATTGCCTTGTGATGGTGAAAGCAATCACGTTTGAGGACTATGAGAACCACATAATTTCCCTGAGAAATGCACCCTGTACTCTTTGCTACAGCTTGGCTCCAAACAGTCCCTCGGGGAGTTCATGAGAATCCTGGATGGCCAACCTGCTGGATGAGGAGGTTGCAGATCTCCTGCAGCAGCACCATGAGCCTCCCTGGGGAGCGGTAGTCTTTGCACGTGGCCCAGATCAGACAAATCACGTGCAGCAAAGGCCGAAGCCGTGGTTTCATTTGGGGAAACTCCACGCTCTCGATGATTTCCAGATGGTGGTGGAGCGGCATCAGGTGAATGTGGATGTCCCGTGCCTCTGTCAGAGCTGGAAGGAACCCGAGAGAGTCAGCTTTCCCTTCTTGAGGCTCATACCCAGCCTACAGCAATCTTGCCTGGAAAGAAGGATCTGCAGAGTGGACGACCACAATCCCTTTCTGAACTGAGAAAGCCAGTTGCAGACAGCGTCCTCGCTCCCACACAGGAATTCTGAAAACTGGAAAACCCTAGCCAAGGGTCTAACACGTTGTCTCTAAATTTCCTGAATCTGCATTTCTTCCTGCCCCTCCAGCCTCAGTTTAATGTCCTTTGCATAGTAGACACTTGACAAGTGTTTATTGATAAGTTATTTACTTTGCGGCTGATAATCTGAGACAGTTTGAAACAGATAACAAGACCTGTCTTCAAATGCCCACTCAGGCCAATTATATGACAATGGGCACATATGACCTCCCTGAAACCCCAAAACAGGCTAGGATACAAAGATATATTTAAAGCTATTTAAAGAGGAACATTCCTAATAAAATGAAATGGATACAATTATAAGGGCTAGTAATAAGGCATTCATACTGGATAATTCTAATGTTTTGTCTTTTTAAATGACAAATATATAGAAAGCAAAGAAAAATTATGTTATACGGCACATGGAATATAAAGATATAACGTGATAAAAATAAACAGGGGAACAAATGGTAGAGATAGAGAATTATTTATATGTTACTGAAGTTATATTGTCACCAAATTACTCTAGAATGTTATAAATACAAGCTGTTAAATGTAATATCCATGGTAAACACTAAGGAAAAATGTTTTATAAAACATACTGAAAAGGAAAGAAGAGCTCCAAAATAACTCCCTACAATAAAACAATAAAAATACAAAAGACGACAATCATAAAGGGCAAAGAGAAGGCTTAAAACACACACA